AATGCACTGCTCCTTTGAGGATAGTCAAGCAGGGCTCACTGTCCCCACATTGGCACCCCCTGTGCAACACATGATAACAGGATGGGGCTGAGCAACCTCCTTATTCAGCTTCATCGAGCCTCGGTTGAATACAAGTTGTGGTGTGACTCCAGCCCATGCACATGAGCAGCCATTCTCATCACTGTGGCTGAATTCAGACCAGTACAACCACCAGCAAGAAGAGAAACTGTTTGGTCTTAGGGCACAATAACTGGTGCTTGAAAATGGGTGATTTCTATTGGGCTTCTGTGTTAACTGTTCACTTGTATATACATTTTGAAATTTTCTCCAACTAGGCTATTTTCCATGACTTATTTTATCCCAGAGATTAATGTTTGGCAACTGTTTGTAAATACACATCATCTGTTTACTAACACAAGAACTAAAATGTACTTCTCCCTATTAAAAATAAAATAAGCGACTTTAATAGCAGAACAGCTTGTGTTTGAAGGTCAGACTTTGGCATGGAAATAGTTCACGCTGAGAAGTAGCACCTTGGAGTACTCTAATCAAAACTGGCAGTGATTTGACTGAGCTACAAGCCTTCAGAAATCACACTTCACACAGTTGTGTTTAAACAGCGATTGCCTATTATTTGGCAGAAAGGCTGTAAATGCATATGTGGCTAATTCAGTCCAGTCTTCAGCATTACACTGGGGAGAGGGAGCGCTGCGATGGCATTCTCAGTCAGTTCAAAGTGCAGGGGTGGGCAGGATGGCGTGGTTATGGACTGGCTTAGGAGGCAACCATCTGCAAGAGTTAGCACTTGTATGGAAGGTGTGTGTTCAGCAAGTCACTGTCTTGCTCAAGACAGTGTTGTTTTTTGGTTTCATTTAAATACTGGACACAGGTTTAGGGTTGGGTTTTTTTTTTTTAAGTCTTGTCTTATGTTTTTGCAGATGTAGTTTCATTCCCACACTTTATTATGGACTATCATTTGGATTTCAGAGTATCAGAATTAACATTAGGAGGTGTATAAAGCTCATCTCACAGCCACTGTCTCATTATGGCTGCTAGAAGAATGTCATTTAGTTAATCCATTCATCTGCAGCAGCAGCCTGGAAGGTGGAATTTGCCTGTGTGACATTTTTGTTAGGATCTGCCAGCTTCACAGATTTGCTGTCACAATAAATCAGGTTAGATTTTATTTAATTAAACCAGCTTATCTGCCATCCATACTAATTACTGTAGTTTATCTTAACTATATGCATTTCTGTTTCCTTGAAGTTTCACAACTTACTACAAATAGAGGAATTGTTAAAATTCATTAATATAAGCACCAGACTCATTCCATTCCATTAGATTTGGAGGTAGGAATAAAAATACAGGATGGGTATGCTGAGTGTCTTATCCCGAACACAGTTCTAGCTGAAAGAATGTTTTATCTCTTTCTATTTCATTTAATACAGTATCAGAAATGTAGCACTACTCTTGCAGTGTGTTGTTTCATTTTCTGAACTAGACTCTACAAGTTATGCTGTAGGGAATAGCACCATGTCCTAAAACTAGAGCCAATGGGGTTCTGCAGTGTAAATCCTATGGGCATAAATGGAAAGCAGCAGAATATGGTTTTATCTGTTGTATACCTCAGACAATATATTTCCCATTTATCATGCAATCACATTTAACTCTTAACTTCTGCCCTTTTCCAATATTTTTTTTGTTCCTGCAACTTAGCCTATTTTAGTTCCCTAGAGGACTGTTCTGTCCACTGTCACATGGATAATTTAAGTAACTGTAATCAGTAACTGTGAATTGTTTCTTCTTTAATAACAAAGCTGTAGTCATGATTAATTTCCATTTAGAGAGGCAAGAATAATTTTGTTTTAGCTCAGTAACTGAGTAGTAAGTTGGCTTTCAACAGAATTTATTCTATTCAATAGTGAAGATACAGTGCTCTGTGTTTTTGTAGACTTGCATGCCAAAATTAACCAGTGTTAAGGCAAAGAATTTAGAATATATAGTCTTCTATCACTGACTGATCTAAGGGCCTCAGTTACTGTGAAGGTAAAAAAAAAAAAAAGTGAAGTATTTCAAATGAAGCAAAGTACACAGGTAGCTTTTATCACAAAGTACAGCAACACTGTGCAGTACGGTGACTCCAAGCTAGCACTGACAAAAGTTGCTTTGGAGCCAAAATAATACTGCTGCATCGGCACAGTGCAACCCTCTGGCTAATTAGCCTTGTTACCTGTGTACTACATTGTGCAAGAAAAGGTTGACTTAGGCACTAAAGTGTGAGAGAAAATGAGTGTGGATCCTAAGGAGGGAGCAACTCATCCATCCCTCTATTCCTTATGGACTAACTCAGGCAGTCTGGGCTGAGAGCACTGGTTTTTGCACTCCATTCCTGAATATCTATGGGATGTGTCTGTATTCATCCTGATCTGGAGTACACTTCTGAGGTGAATCTCTTGATCTTCACTATCTAATATACTTGGACTCACATCATAGAGCGGTCTTGGCATGCATGAACTGGGTTCCTTTCGGACAAAAAACAGGAAGATAACTCCAGTGTCTCACTTAATGCACTCCAAATGTTTGTGGGGGTTGAGCCCAATCCAAAGTAAAATCCCCTGAAATACATATGGCATAGACATTGGGTCCTTGGCACCAGCTGTTTTAGTCTACATTTTTGTTCCCACTGGCCCACACAGTAGCAAAAGTCTTCCCAGGCACTGTACGAGGGGCCTGGATGACTAAGCCAAACCTGCTGGATCTTCTGAGAGGCAGGATCACTGCTGGTTGCAAGGGGGACTTAGGAGGTCATCTGGGCTAACCTCCCTCTTGAAGTGCTGCCAGCAGTAACTTGGTCAACCATAAACTTGTCTAGCCGAGTCTTGAAATGCTCCAAGGACAGAGGAGCTTCTCCTAGTGTCCAACCTGAACTTCCCAAGCTGCAATACGTTGTTGTTGCCTTTGCTGTACTGTCTGACACTGCCACAAAGAGCTTGGCACTCTCATCTTTTTAACTGCCTTAGAAGTAGTTGTAGGCTGAGGTTAGGTCCCCCTTATGCTCTTTGCCAGACTAAACAAGCCCAGATTCCTCAATCTTCCCTTGTGCTCTTGGCCCCTGACCATCTCAGTAGCCTCTCCAGTTTCCTCCCGATCCTCCTCGTATGGAATGCCCAGAGCTGGGCACAGCGCTCCTGGTGCAGCCTCTTCAGTGCCAGGGAGAGGAGGGTAATAACTTCCCAAGAGGGAAGTGAGGAGAGAGGGAGTGAGGCCACACGCCTCTGAATGTAGCCCAGAGCAGGGTCTGTCTTATTTGCAGTGTTCAAATTGGATATATAAAAGCTGTGCACTTCAGATTTACGATCTCGCCTTGAGTGGTGTGCTCAGAGTGAAACAGAAAGCTTGCAATGGAGCAAGGACTTGACTAATGCTTCTAGACCATTGTCTTCAGAACACATTAGCATAGTTAATATATTTTAAAATGTGAAATCATGAATACATAATATTGTTGCACTGCAAGAGAATGTTTTATAAAAACTACTATGCCTTTGACACTTTTCCCTATCAAAAGTTTGTGAAGGAAGAACTGTGGTAATTCAGATAAATTGGATGAAGCTCATGGCTGTACTTTTGAGCTTTTGTGGTATAGCCTTTTTACCTTGATGAAGATTTCACAAGAAATAATTCTCTGGAGGTGTTCTGGATTGCTTTCTGTTTATAAAAATAAATGGTAATTATACCACACATTTGTGTAATATTTCAAAGGTATATTCAAATATTAAGAAGGGTATTACGAATTTGGTGTAATTAATTAAATTACAGATTTCACACTTTCATAGGATTGTCAAAATAAAAAATATTATAAATCTGTGACCATGATTCTATGAACAGATCTCTGATTTAGACATATCAGCTGTGGCTCTGGTAAACAAAACATTGTTAGATTTGCATACATATCTCTGGTTTACAACAGTATGGGGATTGTTAAATCAGTTTTAACCTATTGTGTTGTTTCAGTGCAGTTATACAAATATTGCTTTAACTGCAGCAGATATTCTCCATCATTCATAAGTTAACGCTTTATTTTTCATCACATGGCGCTCAGATCTAGTGGTTTACAGCAGTTGAGTTTTATTTTTGAAAATAACTTAGCAACAGTGTCATCCCTCTGTGTCGTAACTCAGTTGACACTGATGGCAATCTAGACCTAGCAAAATCCATCACATATCTTAGTCTTATTGGGAAAGACAATAAAATTTATTACCTATACAAGATTTCATTACTAACCAAATTTACTTCACATTTGACAGTATGTTTCTTGACTGGTATGTTTTATAGAAATGTGTTCAGATGAACTTAGATAGACAGTACTTAATAATAATTTTGGTCTCATTGCCATATTGTACTTCATTATCAAAACACATGTAATTTTGCATGGTAGGAATAACATGATGTCAGAACTGTGCATTTAGTATGATAGCAGGAATCACCTGGACCAAAAGATACCATAAATAATGCTATTAACAGCTTTTTTCCTTTTAAGATACTATCAGATTAAAGATGCTGATGAAAGTGATAGTGTTTGATACAGTGTCATTAATTCATGTTATTGACTTATTTCTAAGTATAGAGCTCTCTTTTATCTTTGGTATATCTCTTTGTTCCATGGTGTTTCTAGTTCCTAAAATTCAGCTTCCTGAAAAATAAATAGAAGCCAAACTGATAAATTCAGACTGCTGAATTACAAAATTAATTCAGCTGCACTGTATTGAAATATGCTGCAATACTAAGATGTGTATGAAGCCTAATGTTGGACATCAAACACATTTATGTGTTTCTGCAACATACAGTTTGGAGATTAAATCCCAGCACTTGATTTTCATTAGGGGTGGGTGGGTGGTGTGGTGGGTGCATATTAAGGGCTCTTTTTTATGTGATACATCTCTCTGACGAAAAGAACAGAGTTCATGTAAATATTGTTAGTAACATCTTTCTCCCCAATACAGATACAATAGCAGAAAGGAGTGCCCTAAGAGAACATGTGTATCCTAAGCTGAGAGAATTCTGCAGGGAGAACTATGGGCTGGAATTTCAGGTAGGTTTTGGTGTGTTGAATCTTGCATTACTTTTCTTGAAATTAACTCTATTTAGAACAGATAACATTTTTAAATATCATTGGTAAAATAGAAAATTGCAAAAAATGTATTTCATATGTAATTGTACTGAACTGATGTACTTAAATTATTTTACAGGCAGATTTGAGGTAAATTCTAAATAGATGAAAAACACACAGTTTTACAATGCCACATTGCACTGGTGGTAAAAGCAATAGGGCAACAAACTGTCAACTTTTACATTAGAAACTTAATGAAACCACCTCTATTTTAGATATTCAAAGTATTTAAGAAGAAATAATGTTACATTTGAATTACCGTGTTGTACTTCTAGAAACCATACTTAAGTTAATGCAACCTGTTTTTAATTTAATGTAATCATCATTGGAGTAGCAACTTCTGTATATTCACGTAACTGTTATATCTACTCTAACTATGGGTTTATCTTCCACTGTAATGTGGAAAATAGTTTAACCAGGTGAATATTGAAACTGATTACCAAAACAAATTGAATGTGGAACATTTCTATTGTGATTATATACTATGGAATTTGCTTCCTTTAACATCAATTGTAAAATTCTCATTGCTTCAGTCAGTTCATGTTTTCCTTTGTGTTAGGGAAGACATAGACCCACCCACATCTTTGGTAAGAGCCAACTGGTAATAAATACAGTTGCATTTGACTTAAAACACATGAGTTCGGCATCACAGTTGAAGTCACTGGTACTTTTAAGTCAGGTATATCCTATTCGCAGTCCAGTAAAGTCATACAGTAAAGTCCCGTGTATGTCAGCAGGCCTGGAACTGGTTCTCTGCTAACAGAAACAATTACAGTGTGTGATGTTGTAAAAATGCTGTTCAATTTTTCAAAAATTCTCGTTCCACATCCTCAAGCCTTCCTCACATACTAGTATTAACCTGCCATCTTAGTGACCCCAAAAACTCAGCTCTTCAGAGTGTAGCTTACTCGGAAACAGCTAATGCCTTTTATGCAACATCCTGTTCCTCCCAGTGTATTATTCTTGATGCACATGCAGCTGGTTTTTAATCAAAATAACAAGTTCTTAAATTAGGATATTTGGTTTTAATTCCCTGAGTCACAGTGGAGTTGCTGAATCTGCATGGTGGTAAATTCCAGAGTGATTTTTGATTATGGCTATAAAAGAATTTCATCTGAAGGTCCTAGCTCATCAGCTGATTGGGAAGTCCCAGCTGCAGTAGTACATGCAAGGCATAGCAAAAGATATTTAAATAATAAAGCATTTTTTGCCTCTTACTACCATGTAATACTAATGGAAAATATAAACTTTATTTGTCAGTCATCTTTGAGGAGACATCTCAGTGACAAGAGGGAAATGTCTCTTCCAAGTAGATCATAACCCTCTGAATTTTTTGTGAGAGGAAACATGTCTTTCTTCAAATGGATTGTAATGTCATCTCTAGGGGAGGTAGAATTATGTTTATTGTAGTTGATATTCAGGGAAGCAAATTATTTTATTACATAGTTTCAACATTAGGAGCATCCTTATGTGATATGATGTCTGAGAGACAGCTCCACTGACACATTTCTGAAAACAGCTAGAAAGCTATCACATTTCTGTGGAAGCGAAGTAGGAAAACCTGTACAAAAAATTAGCTAGGGAAAGTAGTAAGGCATTTTGGAGCAAGCTCTGAGGTAGACTTTATCAAAACTTTTTTTTTTTTGCCTTTTCCATTCCTGATACACTGAGTTTCTTAGGTTAGCATGCAAAATCAAGACTACAGTTTTTAGTGCAGTGGTGTCGAGAAAATATTATGTACTTTTCAGATACAGGGATAAATTTGTATTTCCCTGCACAGAGGAGAACACATAACTTTTCATCCTGATATGTAATCTTCTACTGACCAAACAAGAACTACCTTGCATGTGACTACCACAAATGCGCTATAATATCGGGTGACCTGAATACACCCTCTTCCTGATAAATAATGACCCAAATGAAATGCATTTGAGTACATTCATTGCTCCAGCTTCCACTGAGTCATCTGGCTGCACTGATAAGTGTTTCAGTTGTTGCAAAGCATGAGATCTGTCAGGCACCCTCAAGTTGGTTGGAGCTGTTAGGGAACATAATGACCATGTGTGTGGAAGCAGAACTGAATATATTCAATCACTCTATGAATTTGTTTGCTCGATGGACTTCCTCTTCCATTGAATCAGAAAATATTTCTGAAGAACAGGTATTGGTGAACACAGAAAGCAAGTAAGCTGAGAAAAAGACTTCCAGAGTGCATGGTGTTTTGTACCTGAAATACAGTATTTTTCTAGGGGAGGACAGAGATGTTAAAGAAAGTAGTTGTAATAGAAAATTTTTGAAGGATAACTAACCATAGTTAATTAGCAACATACTCTTTTCTTCTTGGGAACAATGAACTGTTTCAAATCATTTTCACCATGTGATATATACTAGAAGGAAAGTGGAATTTCGCATGAATGAAATTTTTTACTGTTTTTTTAAGCACTTGGAAGCAATAAAATTCTTTCACTTCCTTAGAAAAATCTGTGAAACTGTAAGATTGGTAGGACAAAAGCTAAAATAAGCAAAAGAAAACACTGAATTATGAACAAAAAGTCTCTGTTAGGTGACTACTGTGGAAGTGAACTAGACCAGTGTCAGTCCACTGTGTGTAAGTAGCTCTCGCACAGAGCACTGGTTGTCATTTCACCTTGGCAGCCTTACTGAAAGTTAGAGTGGGTGTTTGTCACACAGTTTTTCCAAGTATAAGTGAAAACATACTTCAACATCAGATACAGTTGTCTTCTTGTTCCGTTTCTTTAATTTTGTAAATCCTATTTATTTTAGCTAGCATAAAGAATAACTGATAAGCCTCTCATTTTGAAATTCTTGGTGCCTTTAGAGGTTTGATGGCTCAAATATTTCTTCTTGCAGGACAAAGTTATAACATGTTAAGATACTATGCGCCAAAATTGTGTTGCCCAATAAAAATAACCTATAACATTATAACACACAGAAGGCAGCCACTGAGCCCCTACAATATCTGCTGTTCCAGAGAATCTCCTCTTCACATTTACAGAGTTAGCGTGATTTCTGCACAGTTAATTAAAATAGAAATTGCTTTTATGTTTCAGATGAACTTGAGCAGCACAATAAATTCATTCAATAAGTAATTCAAATATTTTTGACTGTACGCTGAGGTGCTCTAATTTTATGACTGGAATACTTAAGCTCTATCATACATCATTCATGTAATCAGACAGCTGAATACAATGTGAAGTTCAATAATGAAGTCATATAGATAAATAACAGAAGGGAGAGACGAAGAAGGGAACACTTTTTTCCTAATCAGACTAAAAGAGGACAGAGAAGAAATCAGTGCAAATGAGGGAGATAGGAAGGCTGTTTGAGGTGCAGTTTTTTAAAGCAGAAGCTGCTTGTTCCAGCAAAATTTTGGAACAGAGTTTCTGTAAAAAAATAAAGATATTAAGTGTATTTTCTTGGCAGTGTAAGCTATAATGCATTTTATACATTGAGCTATTTCACTCATCATCAGTTAGATGGTGCATTACCTCTCGTGTTTGGCAACAGTGTGCCTACTCCAGCAAACACTGACACATATCCCAAACTTTTCTGGAAGAAATAACCAACAAGACTGTTGGTGGTAAAACTAAACATGGCCATAAATGCTTCTAGATTAGGTCTTAAACCTTGGCATTTATTGTTATGAGAAATTTCCCAAGAGATTAACCAGCTGTAAACTGGTGAATTTTACTTTTACATCAACGCATTATTAGTTCTTATATTAGGTCTTCAGGCTGATTTTATGATCTGTTTAGACAACAGCTAGTTTTGTGGTTCTGTTTCTTGTGGAAACAGCAGAGTGCTTCCACAGTACAAATAATATTACAATAAACAATATTGTAATATATTCATGTCTTAATACAATTTCAATTTTTTTTTTAACTATCTACTAGACCTTTTTTTTGTTCAAGGTACATACATGACGTTAACAATCAATAGCAGCGTAAATGAGAGAGTAGTAGCATGTACCATAAGTTTTATTCTGAAAGAAATGCATACATATGATCCCTATTCTTTTAAATTCAATTTTCCACAGTAAGAATTCAGCCTTTTAGTTAAAATATGTAGTGAAATCACACTTCATCACTTAATTTCTTCAAATAAGTTTAACATCCATATTCCAGTTTCTTCCAGGAGTTTGTTTGCAACTAATTACCATCACAAAACTGAGTCTAGCTACAGATAAAAGGCTGAACAGCAAGCTGTCTGTCACTGCATATCTATACAATCTCTGCTTCCAAAGTAACAAAGACCAGCTGACAAAGGAAGTACCATATTACAAAACTACACATATTCTTTCTTTTGAGCCATGTGCACAGAATGAGTTTATATCCTGTGGATACAAGTGACACAGGCTGTCAAGTTGTGGTCTTGACTGTGATCCACAGCAAAACTCCCATTAATTTCCATGGAGCCAGGATTTTATCAATGCTTTTGTCATTCTTCTTACTTATCCATTATAAGCAATCTAGTAGCAAATAAAGACTACATCAAATCAAGATCTTGTAATGCTAATCTCTGCAAAACAATATTAATATGAAATGAGAGACTGTCCCAGGAGGGACTATCTGGGAGGGAAAATAAGAGGCTTAAATTGTTATTTATGTAAGGAAACCCTGCCAGTCTGTGTAAGGACTGGTTATAGACCTCATTGCCTTTTACCGCACTACAGAGCAATGCTTAGCAGTACATGAAATGTTGACAAATCTAATTTTTAATTTGATAGGTAGAAAGGGCATATGTTAAAGTAACAATGTTACATACTATTTTCCAGGTCATAGACTTATACTGGGGAGTTGAAGCAGATGAATGGGACAGTCCTGAGCTGCAAAAGACTCGTATGAAGCTGTTAGAAGATTGCTTGAAAACTTCTGCAGGTCCATGTTTTGTTGTGGGTATAAAAATAATGTTTTACTTTACAACAAAAATATAATGTTAGCTATCCTAACATGCATGATTCAGTAACAAATGTATTCTTTTCTTCTTTCTAAAATACTTGATATTCCTTGCTGTACATTTGCTATACTGCATCCAAATGTTTCCTTATACAGCACTGTAGATTAACAGTGATTACTCAGTATTAGTGGAAAGAAGGATCTTTCATAATCAGTCCTCATAGCAAGATGGGTTTAGAAACCACAAGGTATGACTGTATTACTGTCACAACAGAAGTACGGACTACTTGTTTAAGGAGGCCACCATTAGTTAATTCTTGGCACTTCTCACACATGCATTATTGGCTGGCCTAGAAGGACTTAGAAAAGCACAGCAGCAGCCGAGAACTATCTGCTCTGATCTGCATTTTGCTGTTTTGTGTCATAAACCCAGGGCAAGTTAGAATGACAGGTATTAGAGTGTGAAAAGACTGGAGGTCAGTGGCAACCGGAGGAGGCTCTGAGTCACTGTGGTTTTACTACTCTCTGCCTTCTCTTTACTGTTGCTAGAACAAGCATTGCTTTCAGGATTCTTCGAGAGTCAGTAAAGCTGGCAAAAAAGATAGATCTTCACTGGCTTTTCCTATTAGGCCTAAAGGAGAGACTGAACCCCTTTTACAGGAGTGGTTTATAAAGCTTTCCATATTTATTTTAATGTCAGAGAGGTCTTTTTCTGTAGATGAACCTGTTGTTTTACAGCAAGCTCAACAGTCTTCAGCTATCCGTCACAGCTTTTACAGCTGACGCAGTATGAATTTATGAAGTTATGCCAAACATTGTGTAGGGTTCTAATAGCTGAAAGGCACTGGGAGTAGGCTGCATATATAAAGTTCTGTCAGGTATGCTTTACCCCTTCCAATGAATCATATATAATAGATTTTGCTGTCACTGATTTTATGTTAAATATACAATTCATAGTAGTGCATTTTTTTTCTCTTTTGTCTGTGTCTAGAAAGATGTGCACCATGTTTTAAGATGAACACAGTTAACTTGAAAAATATTTAAAGTCCAGTTTAGTGCTGACTGTGTTAGTTTTCAGTGCATAGAGAAAAAAGATATGACTTTTGATAAATGCCTTTTTCAAGCTGCTTAGAGTAGCATAACCTCTTTATCTATGAAGAGTAAGGCTGTTCTTTAACTTTCTGGGTAGATCTAGATAGAGAATCTCTCTAATGAGATTGGCTATTCAATGGTATATAGTGCATACTTAACAGCATCTATTAAAGCATCAAAACAAAAGACAAGATGATTCGGGAAGAATGTGGGTATATTTTGTACATGAGAAGTACTATGTGCAAGGGAGGCTTCAGTGAAAGTACAAAAATGACCACAATGAATAGGATTTGCTATGATCAAGGATACTTCTCTAAAAGATAAGTATTTCTATTATTCCAAAACATATTTAATTATTTTATCAGCTGTCTTGAGGCTCCATCTTTGTGAGAAATAAATGGGGGATGTATGACAATTATTTTTCTATGCATAGTTGTAGGACTGCAGAGATACTAGGGTAAGTCTCAAGTTAAATTAACCTCTATAAAACTCATCATTTGTGTTTAAGAAGACAACAATATTATTTTAAGACAAAGTGCCTGCAGAGAAAAAAATAGATAACCTGCCTACATTAGATAAATTCAGTTCCAGTTTCATTCTAGTGGTGTAGAAGGACCAGAACATACAGGGCAAAAGACAGACTCATTCAGGATCTATCTGTCAGGCTGAATGTTTTCAAGTAAACTTGCCTAATCCTACCTAACTAATTTTGTCAATTATTACACTAATTGTTAGTGTAAGTTTTAGTAAATTACAAGCATTTTGCTATTACATGTCTTTATTACAAGTTTTCAAGGATTGGCCTAAAAGTAAAAAAACATTGCTTCTGTTTACTGCTGATATACTACTGATTGTATTCTCCATAGTCACTTGTCTATTGCAACTGGAAGGGTAGTGGAAGTGCTTGTCTCTCAGACATCAAAGGACACCTGCCACTCTCCTTTGACAGCTTTAATTAACCTCTGTTTTGATGTTAGCCTTCAATAGAAAACAATTTTAAGACCACGCCTTTGCTATTCCAAATTTTCTTTTCTATAATACATTTGCTAAGAAAATAATTTAGAAAAGGTAGATTTCTCCTCTATACTTAAATGTAGCTAAGTGAACCCTAATTCTTAGACTTGTCATAATAAGACAGAGAAGAGTTCTGAAAAAACTGCAAGTCCTTGATTATTTTGTTTTTTAAGGGAAGAATTTGAAAGATTTAGCAAACTGAAACCACAGAATCCCATGGGGATGGAAGGGATACAAAACACTGCCTGCTGTAAAGGCTGGAGATCACTTCTCTCCATGCCAAAGATGAGACAAAGAGCAAGCTGTAGCATGTGTTGTTCTGTACTTTTATCACACCCTCACAACCATCTCACTGCCTCTGTTTCATTCACCTGCTTGCCTCATTCTGTTATTTAGCTTCAGAGCCCTGGGGAACAAAGGCTGTCCTCAGCGCTTGACTGTAAAGAGCCCGGCGCGTGGAGTACTGAGTCTGGGGTGGGTTTGATGCTGTCATGACACTGTTTTTCATGAGGACACACTGGCCCAGATCTCTACAGAGTTTGCATAGCTTCCATCTTACGTGACTAAATTTAGTTTTCTGGGCTTATTTTTCTACTTTCTATCTTCCCTTTGATGAAGAAACAGAGTTGGAGCAGAAAGGCATGGCATTTTTCCTGTAGCAACACCCAGTGTCCTTAGACACGGATGTTCTAAAATCTCTGACAGTGAAGAAAACCTCGTCATGTACCATTGCTGCATATTTTAGCAGCTCAGAATTTTGAAGCTGTTAAGAACTGCCTGGCTGATATTGTTACTAAGGAAAGAAATCAAGCCAAATCAGAAATTTTAAACAGAACAAAACAGTTAGCAAAGAGGCTGCAGTGAGCCGACAACTTCAATATTTATTCCAGGTTTTCCAAGTATGGGCCAGAGTAATAGCTCTCCCAATGACTAGACTGGCAAAACTACAGAAATCTCTATACACATTTTTTGTTTGCTTTGTTGTACCTTAGTGGGATGGGGTTTATTTCATTTACAACACCAATTGAAGACGCTTCTACTCCAACAAGCATAATTAGTTTTAATTTATAGTAACATAATTAAAAACTGACTTTGGCACTGCAGGCTTTGGGCACCTTCCCATTTCTTGAGAAAGTTCTATAAAATGTGCCACTTCCATTCAGCTGGGTTTTGTTTTTTTACTTTTCAGTTACCACTTTTTTAATTCAGATGCAGATCTGGGATTAAATTGGACTATTCAGAATTAACTAGCAGATATGGATTGATTTTAGAAAGTGTTTCTTTATGGCACTTTGTGCTTGCATTGTGCTATCAAATGGAGAGAAAATTAAATTCAGTTCTTAAATTAGTGCAATGTGTAAGTTGGAAGTCCTAAGCTTTTCTTCAGATACAAAACAACAAAATCCAAATGAACACATATCCGTAAACACAAAGAAGGAAGCAGTTCTGAAAAAAATGGGTAATTCATTTCCTGTGACACTTTCTTTGGGAATGTACAGTCCCTCTGTTACCTACTGCCTGAGCTCTATCAACACTGGATCCAATTAAGGGCAAGGGGAGTTGTTTGGGTTTTGGTTAGGTTGGGTTTTTTGTTTGGTTGGTATTTTGCTTTGTAAAATCACAGCCTATTATAGGTGATCATTTAAAAACTCATAGCCTTTACTGTAGGTAAATACATACTGTAAGTAAATACATACCATGCTATTTTTGATTTACAGAATAATTTATCAAGATTTATTTATGAGGGGAAGAGTACTATTTCTGTAGGAAAAATACTTTCCGTGCAAATTTTATGCAGAAATCATACTGGTTGTCTCTGGAATCTACATGGGGAGATTGAAATGCAGTATATTTATTAAATTGTGAACTGCTTAAACTCTGCATTGTGTAATGATGTCAAAGAAAAAATACATTCAGTGCATCACTGGAACCTTTACATTTTGTTGGTTATGTTTCCTAGTAAATTCATAAGAGATGGTAATACAGACAGGATGGTAGAGTGACAATAAAGGTTATTGTCAGGTGTCAGTCCCACAACTAGTACTGATCATGAACAGGATTCATCTGTTACAGATCTAGTCTTGATACCTTTAACAACTAACAGAAAGATATAGGTACCTCTACTAATATCTGAGAAGTCATCTTCTGGATGACTGTTTCTCTATTAACAGCAAGGAGACACTAGGGAGTTAGACTGCTGAGTTAGGAACCCAAGTACAGTGCTTGATATCAATTAAGGCCTTAAGCTACTTAGGGTGTCGTTAGTCTATAGTGATTATTTGCAGAATAAGTTTACTGCCCTTTTAGTGGGGTTCCCTAACTAACACTCCATTACTAACCTGCTGTTGATTATGCCTTAGTACAGATCAGGGAACTGGCAGGCTTCTCTGCACTTCTCTTCAAATACACCCTGCAAGTTATAACACGTGGGTGCTCTCTTCCATCTGTGCAGCACCACACAGTCTCTGCCTGAACTGCTGTTCTTGCATGACTACGTCCTGAAAAAACATAAAATGAAAGGGAGAAATGGAAATGAAATAGTTTGTCACCTGTAACAATTTGCTCAATTAAATATGTTTGGGTTTGTACAAACGTAAGAGATTGTCTCCACCCATTGGTCAAATCATCTGGTCCAAAGAATAGTAAAAACATTTTCTACCTACTGTGAACAGCCACTGTAATTTACATTATCCCTCTCAAATTATTGACAGCCTGTTGTTAATTTCAGCATTAACGAACCATTAAAAAAGACCTAGCATTATAAAATTGGGATTCCAGTGGGATTTTAAAAGAATATTAGCAATTTACAATATTTAGCATGTCCTTAAATCAGCCAGAAATTGAAGAAAAAATATGGTAAATTGAGAAGTGAGATGTTTTTTACACCTTT